AGGGGGAAACTGACAACTTGACCATGGGACAAGTGGTTATGGTGGTTGACTCACAACTACCGCGAGCGCAGTGGCCCATCGGAAAGGTGGTCAAGGCCTGTCCAGGGCCAGACAGTCGGGTGAGAGCGGCTGAGGTGACAATCAAGGGACAGACATATCTTCGACCACTTGCCAGATTAGTCAGACTCTCAGCCTGGGAGGATGATGAGGACTGTCAACCCAATGGTGCTTAGACTTTCGGTTGAGGAGCAAATTTATTACTTAAATTTGGGGGCGGCTGTGTCCGAAAGTCTCCTTATATTTCAATTGCATCGCTATAAGTGCAGTGTTAATTTCTGTCGATAAGTTCCACTTTGTTCTTACTGTTTGCTGCGGTGATGACGTCACATGCTTTTACGACGCTCCTGCCGTATCACGAGTCCGAGGAGCACTAGCCATGTTTTTCTCCATGAGTGTGGGGGAATAGCGATCTCCAGCCGTGTGTGTTCCTGTGCAAATGTGAGTCAAAATCCCTCCAGTTCTACGAGTCTATTTCCACTTATAGCACGGGTTGTACTTTGACATTGATAACAGGGGGTTTATGCTAGGAGATTTATCGAGATTGGTAGAGGCATGTGACTTACCACCGTAGCATTTGTTGCGGGTTGGATCTGTGTACCGTGGTTGTGTTATTTAGCCACTAGAGGGCACTGAAGACCATGTAATTGCGACCTTTCCTAATTTGGGGGCATTAGGTCCTTTCTGTTGTCTGAGATATGTAGGTATTCTTGTTTCCTGCCTGTTCAAATGGGATTGTGGGACTTTCTTATGTCAGAGCATTCAGCTGATTATTTGTGTTACAGTTCATTATATTGGCATGATGTTGGGAAGTGACGAGTGTTATATTTATATGTGAAAATTGTTTCTCCTTGTTTCTTGTTATTCAGAACCACACGTCTGTCCACCCCTCCCACATTCGTTAAGTATGCCTACTGCTGTACTGTTGAGCTGCTATTAACTTCCATTAAAGTATATCCGGACATCACTCTCTGTGCCCCACTCTCTGACCGGAGTTTAAGTCCTGAGGGAGCTATCATCCCAGCATCCCAGAGATAACTCTCTAACAATATCACCTCTAGTCCCTTGTATCCCCAAGCGAATGGACAGGCAGAAAAAGGAGTCCAAATAGTAAAGAGATTGTTCAAAAAAGCAAGAGACAGTAAGACCGACCCTTACCTGGCTCTGCTAAGCTACAGAGCTTCATCCCTGGAGTGTGGGGCATCACCTGCTGAGCTACTCATGCATCGCAAGCTCCGCACCACACTTCCACACATTTCCAAGGAAAATGACAATGCACATGACAACAAGCTGACCGACAAAAGGATGAAACTCAAGCACAGACAGAAAAGGAACTATGACAAAACTGCAAGCCGTCTGGAACCGCTTCAGGAAAGAGATGTTGTGAGGATTGCAGGTCCAGATTTCTGGGACAAAAAAGCAACAGTTCTCAGCGAAGTAGGGCCCAGATCGTTTGCTGTTCAGACAGAGAATGGACAAGTGTTAAGAAGAAACCGGAGAAGTCTGTTAAAGACACAGGATGTTAAACAGCAGGACACAGAGACTGGAACTGAACAACGAGGTGCTAACCCTGTTGAGCACCACAGTGAGCCTCCTTCAACTTCCCCAATGTCTGAAATACTGAGAAGGTCTACCAGACCTAAGAAACGTACAGAGAGGCTCATAGAACAAGTGTGAACTGTTGTGGTAAAGAATTGTTAAAAAATAATAATAATAAATCGCAAGTAAATAACGGATAATAATTCATTTAGAATAGTAATTGTTCACACTTAATTGAGACCTACTGAGTTATGTGTTATTGACTGTTTAAGTTGTCAAAGGTGAAGAGTTCTAATGTGCTCGAGGGCTGTATGGGATTCATTTGGTTCATTCTGGAAGATGTAAGGTATACATTTGGATTTATTTTGTTTGACTTGTGCTACAACTTTTGGTTATAAAAAAAAAAAAAGAGAACACTACTGAATGTAGTTTGTTGCACAATTTATAACATGTTGAATGTTAGACAAGAATGTTCAGATGTTACAGAGTAACATTACTCTTTGGAATTGTGCTTATTATAATACCAACCTGTTTGGAAAGGGGATGTAATGATAGTTGCTATTGTTGAAGCTACCCACAGGGGGCGCTCTGGAATCAATAAGATATACAGAATAGAAGAAGAAGTGATCGTGGTAGAAAGAATAATAAACAGCTAGCTGAAGCTAGCACCAGGAGCAATTCTTGATGTTTTATTCATAGAGGAATAAGAACATTACAATTATCAGTATTGAAGCAAAGCATAAAAACATTTAAACATTATTCTTTGACAACTAGTTACCGTGCTCGTTACCACAATAATAACGTAGTTACTGTAACGCGTTACTTAATAACGCGTTAGTCCCAACACTGGTTATGAAGGCAGCATAAACAAAAATGTGAGCTGTAAAAGCATCTGAATCACTGCAGCAATCCAAATTGCTACTGTGGGCTGCTTTACGATGGGTTTACCTGCAGTGAACAAGTAGTGCCTTGTAGTTGCTGAAGCCTTCTCTTGTGTTAATAAAAGGCATTTTAGATATATATTTTAAACAGAAATAATTAAACACACACACATCCTTGAACAACTTAATGATACCCACACCATACTGCGCAGGTGCTGTGGGAGCATGTGCAGCCTTCTCAGAACTTCAGCATTTACAACGGAGGCGTGGAGGCAGTCTCAAACCTCTTAAGTAAGCAACATTAGATGGCATTTCCCCCCCTCCCTAAATCAAATGGAAGTTATCAGGGACACATAAGATTTCTCAGTACCTAATCAGCTGTCCTAATTTGTCTTATCCCACGTGTACATGCTTTCCAGGTGCAGCCACTGCCTACGGGATAGGCTTTACTGAGGTAAGATGGGAGCAGTGGGGAGAGCTGGCCCTGGGTGGTTTCTCTGGACTGAGTGCAGCTTCACTGTTCCTCATGACTTTCACTGGCAACATTTGGGTCTGCTACAGCGGTTACGTCGTTTTCAAGTCACTGTACATGACGCTGATAACTATAGCAATGTAAGAGTGTCAAGTCACATCAGGGTTATACTTTACCACAGTTTAGTTTGATTTTTATTGCAGATATAAGAGCAAAAAAGCTAAAAATAAAATAAAATAAAATAAAAATTAAAAAAACCCTCCCCAACCTTTAGATTAAGACAAATTCTATGCTTGCAGGTATCAGATTGCAGCTGATCTCTCAATGGAAAGATATGCACTAGTCTTTGGGGCAAATACCTTTGGAGCACTGGCTCTACAGACGATTATCACGTCTGTTGTAGTTGACAGTAGAGGGCTAGGCCTGGCCATCATTCCCCAGGTAAGCCATCAGATCACAAAATATGTACAGCAGCACTGTTTATTTGTCCATTAGCGTCATTAACCTTTTAAACATGTACTCTTCTTTGCAGTTCACCGTGTATTCCAGCTACTTCTTGGTTATCTCTGTTGTTTTTTTACTTCGGGGTCTATTGGTGAGCACAAAGAAGCAGAAAAGAGACAATTCCTCCAGACAAAGATGAAACTCCAGGCAGCGAAGAACACAGATTCTGAACACGTATAGAGCGTTATAGTGTATCACTTATGGTTTCCCATCCCTAAATTGACCTCACATTAGTTCATAAGTAGCAGATAAAAAGTCTTTAAATTACTTACTTCAACATGATGAATAGAAATCATTTTTTTTTTGTACAAAAACAATAAAAGAATGTTTCACACATTCATATAAATGAATGCTTTGGTCGTTTCTTTTTACTTAAAATTCATTTTAATATATATACTGTATATATTTACACCTTAACTTAAACTTTTTTAATACACAATGCAAGTAAGTGGTTTTCAGTTCATCAGCCATTTCTTCTGACTGTCATTTGAAGTGTTGCAACTCTGTCAGCAGGGCGGAGACAACAGAGAAACGAGCCCCCCACCCCACCCATCCCTGATGTAGCATTCAGTCCTCCTCCTAACCCTAACCCCACCTTGACAACAGAATATATTCATTTCCTTAGTGAGAACAGTTTATCTAAAGGGTCCTGCACAAATAGTTTGGTTCTTTACAAATACAGTAACTGGTAGTACCCATTAGCTTTTCAAAGCAACAGTTCTGTCTTAGCAAATTCTGTGTGTTAGATACAAATACTGATATGCACAAAGAGCTAATTTCCTAAAAGAAAAAAAAAGTACAGAATTGCAGCATAATGAATGGGATATACTGTATGCAATAACTTAGTTTTCAACCAGTTCGATTATACATTGTGGCTGTTGCGAAATCAGTTTTACCCCCGGTGTGTCCCTCTGCAAAATCTTCACCCCTTTGTTAGTTACAGCCAGCTTTATAGAGGCGTCCCCATCATAAAACCCCCCAGGGTGTGCTGCAAACTGTGTCTGTGTCTATGTGCACGAGCACATGAATGCCTACATGTGCGCGTTCCCACGTGTCTATGTGAGTGCTCATGTATGACTGTGTACGCATACCTGTGTGTATGTGTGAGTGCACATGAGTGAGTGTGCGTGTGGATGTGTGTGCGTGACAGTTAAAGCACTGTGGGTGTGTGTCTCTATGTACGTGACTCCCTGCGGTCATAAAAGTCCATCTCCCTTCCAGACCACAGTTATCCAGTTACAAATGTTGAGACCCCCACCCAAACATTCTCTGGGGAATTTCCACTCAGCATTAACTCCTCTCTGTTTTACTTTCACAGTTCAAGTGGGGGAGGGGTCTCCTACAATCTACTCCTAAGTTCACAACAGAGTGAGGCCTTTATTATATTGAGGGCAGTGTCAGTGTCTCTACAATAGTTCTACATTCTATGTTAACACATTTCTAAACTCTAAAATAAGCTAAACATTCCTACATGGCTCAGTAGAGGCCAGGCTAGTTCACAGGTTAAATAAAGGGGAGGGCATCGACCTCCCCCTCTGCACACACCATCACTGTTTTGTAGCCTTCGACAGTGTCAGCACGACTGTGTCGCATATTGTTCCATTTATGACAAACTGCGATAGAAAATACAAATTCTTACAAACATTGTGTTTTTAAAGCTACTAGTGAAACAAAAACAGTGCAATAGATGCAAGCGTGCCAGTTGTTGACCCTGTAGTGCAGCTGACATGATGGACCGCTATAAGAAGGGGTTTGTGGACCCGCACCCTAGAACGAAAAAGGGAAGCACGCAGTGAGACTGTGTACTAAGGTTCTTGTCCAGTGTTAACTGAGAAGAAAGTATGCTAGCTATATGGCTGTTCACCAGAGCAATGGGCTGGTTATTCAAAAAAACAAAACAAACACCTCTCCGTGAATCGCTACCTTATCGTGGTGGAGTGGTTTGTGTGTCCCAGGGATCCCAGGGGCTATGTTGTCTGGGGACTTTTGCCCCCTGGTAGGGTCTCCCATGGCAAATTGATCCTGGGTGAGGCACCAGACAAAGAGCGAGACTTCAATGCTCATGTGGGTAACGACAGCGAGACCTGGAGGGGCGTGATTGGGAGGAACGGCCTCCCTGATCTGAACCCGAGCAGTGTTTTGTTATTGGACTTCTGTGCAAATCACAGTTTGGCCATAACGAACACCTTGTTCGAACATAAGAGTGTCCATAAGTGCACGTGGCACCAGGACACTCTAGGCCGCAGGTCGATGATCGATTTTGTAATCGTATCACCAGACCTGCGACCATATGTTCTGGACAATCGGGTAAAGACAGGGGGGTGGAGCTGTCAACTGATCACCACCTGGTGGTGAGTTGGATTAGGTGGCGGGGGAGGACGCTGGACAGACTCGGTGCACCTAAACGCGTAGTGAGGGTGTGCTGGGAACGTCTAGCAGAGGCCCCAGTCCGTGTGATCTTCAACGCACACCTCCGGCAGAGCTTCAACAGCATTCCGAGGGAGACTGGGGACATTGAGTCCGAATGGACCATGTTCAGTGTCTCCATTGCCGAAGCTGCTGCATTGAGCTGCGGCCGCAAGGTGGTCGGTGCCTGCCGTGGTGGTAATCCCCGAACCAAAAGGTGGACACTAGAGGTGAAGGGAGCCACCAGGCTGAAGAAGGAGTCCTATCGGGCTTGGTTAGCCTGTGGGACTCCGGAGGCAGCCGACAGGTATCAACAGGCAAAGCGGAATGCGGCTCGGACAGTGGCTGAAGCAAAAACTCGGGTGTGGGAGGAGTTTGGAGAGGCCATGGAAAAAGACTTTTGGACTGCCTCGAAGAGATTCTGGCAAACCGTCAGGCGTCTCAGGAGGGGAAAGCGGTGCTCTACCTGCACTGTTTATAGTGCTGGCGGACTGCTGCTGACGCCAACTGAGAAAATTGTCAGGCGGTGGAAGGAATACTTCGGGGACCTCCTTAATCCCACTGACACGTCTTCCGAGGAGGAGAGTCTAGGGTTGAGGGGAATGACCCGCCAATTTCCGGAGGCGAGGTCACTGAGGCAGTTAAACAACTCCTTGGTGGCAGAGCCCCTGGTGTTGATGAGGTCCGCCCCGAGTTCCTGAAGGCTCTGGACGTTGTAGGGCTGTCCTGGTTGACACGCCTCTACAATGTTGCGTGGAGATCAGGGGCAGTAGTAAGAGGGGAGACCGGAGGGTATGTTCCAACTACAGGGGGATCACACTCCTCAGCCTCCCTGGAAAGGAGAGTTCGTCCGCTAGTCAAACCTCGGATACAGGAGGAACAATGTGGTTTTCGTCCTGGTCGCGGAACACTGGACCAGCTCTTTATCCTCTCAAGGATACTTGAGGGTGCATGGGAGTTTGCCCAACCAGTCTACATGTGTTTTGTGGACTTGGAGAAGGCATTCGACCGTGTCCCTCGGGGTGTCCTGTGGGAGGTGGTGTCTGGCCCATTGCTACGGGCCATTCGATCCCTATACAACCGTTGCAAGAGCTTGGTTCGCATTGCCGGCAATAAGTGAGACTCGTTCCCGGTGGGTGATGGGCTCCGCCAGGGCTGCCCTTTGTCACCGGTTCTGTTCATAATTTTTATGGACAGGATTTCTAGGCGCAGCCAAGTGGCGGAAGGCTATCACTTTGGTGGCCTCAGAATCTCATCTCTGCTTTTTGCGGATGATGTGGTTCTGGTGGCTTCATCGGGTGAGGGCCTCCAGCTCGCACTGGAACGGTTCGCAGCCGAGTGTGAAGCAGCGGGAATGAGGATTCTCATGGGGTTCTCAGCCGGAAAAGGGTGGAGTGCCCACTCTGGGTCGGGGATGAGTTCCTGCCCCAAGCGGTGAAGTTCAAGTATCTCGGGGTCTTGTTCACGAGTGATGGGAGAGGGGAGCCGGAGATCGACAGACGGATTGGGGCTGCGGCTGCAGTGATGCGGACGCTGCACCGGTCCGTCGTGGTGAAGAGGGAGCTGAGTGTAAAAGCAAAGCTCTCAATTTATCGGACGATCTACGTCCCTACCCTCACCTATGGCCACGAGCTGTGGGTAGTGACCGAAAGAACGAGATCGCGGATACAAGCGGCAGAAATGAGCTTCCTCCGAAGGGTGGCTGGCCTCTCCCTTAGAGATAGGGTGAGAAGTTCGGCCATCCAGGAGGGGCTCACAGTAGAGCCGCTGTTGGTCCACATCGAAAGGAGCCAGTTGAGGTGGTTCGGGCATCTGACAAGGATTCCTCCTGGGCGCCTCCTGGGTGAGGTGTTCCAGGCATGTCCCACCGGGAGGAGGCCCCAGGGCAGACCCAGGATACGCTGGAGAGATTATATCTCTCGGCTGGCCTGGGAACGCCTTGGTGTTCCCCCAGATAAGCTGGAGGAGGTTGCTGGGGAGAGGGAGGTCTGGGCTTCTCTCCTTAGGCTGCTGCCCCCGCGACCCGGTGTTAAGGTTCTAACATTGAGGAAGGAGAGTACAAACAGCCATGGTCCCGAACTTGGTCAAACAATTGATATTAATGAAATAAACGCGTGGGAAGATCACTCTGTTCGCAGACAGGAATTGATCTTCGACTTAATCAAAGCATAAGCAGATATTTATACCATCAGAGTTTGACTTTAATGACGCCCCGCCAACGTCAGATACATTCCATACATAGGTCAGATCAAAACCACAATGACTTTTAACACAGTTTAAAAGAACATTATCTCTGTCTCGTCTGGAACACGAGCCCCACATCCTGCAAGAAACTGTTCCTCTTTTGCAGAGACAAACATGACTAACCTCTCACCTATAAATGCGTCTATCTACTGTGTATGTGTGTGTGTGTGTGTATGTGTGTGTGTGTGTGTGTGTGTCGACCTTACATGCTCTCTCAATTCATCCGTTGCTCTTCTGACCTTTTACCAGGACAGAGGCTCATCCTTATGTGTAATAACCTAACTGAAACTATATGTACTATGTTGAATAAATGTTATAATCAGGAACCTCTACTAAAAGCTTAATCAAAGAATATAAAAGTATAAAAGACAATTTGAATAACCTAGTTATTCACATAGCCTCGTCCAAACAGCTCCTCAGAATAACCTGCACTTAGACTTTGCTTTCGGTTTCACTTCTGTAAAAGGCACACTCTGCAAACCTGCAATTTCCTGTCAGCCTGTGGCTCAGTCTTTCTGAAAGACACACTGTTTAAACATCTGAATGCAATATCAATACTGTAGATTATATTATTAATGCAATGGTAATGATGATAATTACTAACAATAGCAGTAAAATAATTTCCCTGCTCTCCACACCGGCCTCGGATAAAGCGGATGAAGATGGATGGATAGATGAACAAACAAACAAAAAAAACAAAGCCATCCCTTACAGTAAAATCTACACAAAGAACTGAAGTCTCTTTATTTATTTTTGTGTCAAACACAGATCAAAAGTGCTGTGCAAAAGTCTCGAGCCACCTCGTAGTATTTTATTCTATTGCATATAGTTTTTTATTCTTTTTATCTTCTCCTATACCTTTTTTCTTTCATTTGTGTTGTTCTAACTTTGCACTGTCTACTTTCTGAAACTTTGCACTGTCTACTTTCTGCTGTGACACAACAAATTTCCCATGTGTGGGACTAATAAAGCTTTATCTTATCTATCTTATCAACAGGTGCAGGAGGTTATTCAAATGTGAAACACTTTTCCTGTGACACACAGGAAAATACAGCATGAGTCAACAACTGTTTGTACAGGTTCTAATATACCAAAGTCAAAATTTTGTATCACCACCTTTATTCTTCAACACAGACTAAACCCTCTTTGGCAGCTCTCTAGTAATTACGTTAACTAGTCATGAGGAATAGTTCTCCAGGCTTCTTGAAGGACATTCAAAGCTCTTCTTTGGATGTTGGCTGACTTTTGTTCTGTTTTCTGTCAAGATGATTCCACACTACTTCAATAATGTTATGGCCCGGGCTCTGAGGAGGCCAATCCATGACTGATAGTGTTCCACTGCGTGGTTTTCCATTCAGATTTGCTTTTGGCAGTGTGTTTAGGATCATTGTCATGGTGACAAATATAGCAGCAAAGTGGTTCAGAAGGTCCTGAGTTCGACTCCACTATCTGTGTGGAGTTTGCATATTCTCCCCATGTTTGCATGAGTTATTGGTGTGAGTATGAATGGTTGTCTCTCCATGTTAGCCCTGTAAAAGCCTGGCTGCCTCTCACGGGTAGCCGGGGTAGGCTCCAGTCTCCACAGTGTCTTACAGATGTCTGTATACACAGTGGAACCCTCTCCTGACTTTTTTTGAACATACTGCTTCCTGAAGAATGGCTTCTTGTCAGCCACCCTTCCACTAAGACTATTTCTGATGGATCAACTGAAGCGTCAAATGATGAGGGTCAGCTCTCATGTCTTGTGTCAGCTCTTGTTGGATTTAAAAAAAAGAAAGAAAAAAAAGAAATCTATTTCTTAACAGCATGACTTTCATTATACTTTTTGTCTTATTTTTTTTGTCCTAACACATACACAAATGCCATTTTATATCTATCAAACTATGTTTTTATTGGCATTTTTCACAGATTCAACTAAATAATCTGTTCTGGTTCATTTCCAAGTTGTCTGCTATGTGTAGAAACACTGGGTCATGCATTGAGTTAGTCACCTTTTTTATACTTGAATGATTGACAGGTCAAGTGGCTTAAACAAACATCTGAAAATGTTCAGGCACAAGAACTGAACTGAAAACGCCAGGCTGATTAGAAGCAAGTTATTACAGTGGCTTGCAAAAGTATTCGGCCCCCTTGAACTTTCCCACATTTTGTCACATTACAGCCACAAACATTAATCAATTTTATTGGAATTCCACATGAAAGACCAATACAAAGTGGTGTACAAGTGAGAAGTGGAACAAAAATCATACATGATTCCAAACATTTTTTACAAATAAATAACTGCAAAGTGGGGTGTGCGTAATTATTCAGCCCCCTTTGGTCTGAGTGCAGTCAGTTGACCATAGACATTACCTGTTGAGTGCTAATGACTAAATAGAGTGCACCTGTGTGTAATCTAATGTCAGTACAAATACAGCTGCTCTGTGACAGCTAGTGATGGGCAGATGAAGCTTCATGAAGCACTGAAGCTTTTCATCCAATTGGTTCATCCCAGCGCAAAGCTTCTTGAAGCTTCATTTGCTCTAGTAGGACACCTACTGGACGTAAAAATATTAGTTGGCATGAATTTGAAGAGTGTGGCCTTTTGCACACAGCCTGTAAATGTCAACAACAAAAGGAGTGTGTAAAACATGTATATTGTAGTGATGGCAGTATACTGTGTATATTTATACTAGCAGTATGGAAAATGATTATTTGGAAATGATCCTTTACTGTGAGGTGAGGTGGGGTTGGGGTGTGGACAGTAGTTGTGCTTTTGTAACGTTGAGGTATGGACAGCTACAGGCTTTGAGCCTCAGTCCTGCCTGTTCACATTTTATTCTGTAAAAACTAAATTTTCACTGCTTTTATGACCTTTTTAGTGGGGAGAACATAGCTAGGATTTAATGATTTAACAAATCTTTTGAATCCTTTGTCCTCCACAATGCTAAATGGCTGGGAGTCCTCAATCACCATGCTAACCAGGTCTTCATCTATTTGAGATTGTTCTCCTGAGGAAAGACAATAAAGACAAAGCACAAATATAAATATCACACACGTAACTTATAACAGTTGTATAATATTGTTATATCATTTAGTAACATTACTGCATGCTATATTATCATTGCATTTGATGGCTCACCTGGTCTTGCTCCACAATTGGTGTTCCCCTTATTCTCATGCAAAGCTCTGTAGTGCCTAAGCATGGATGAGGTGTTGCTGTTATATCCCAGCTCCCTGGCACATAGCAAACACTTCACCTTGTACAAAAGTAACGACAGCTTAACATAAATTGTATTGCACCATCAGTATTATGAAAATACATCTTCTGTAGAAATTTACATACCTTGTTGGGAGGAATAAGATCAAAATGTTCCCACACAGGGGAGGACATCCTCCTCTTCTTAGCTGGCTCCATTCTCTCCTGACTTTCTCTCCTCACTCTCATAAACCTCCAAACGGCCTCCAAACTGTCTCCAAACTCTCACTAACCGCAACTCTCCATCAAACACCCACATTTTTGAATGAAGTCTGAGGGGTTTATATCGCTGTCATATCTCGCGGCAAAGTTCGAACCACTTCATGAACCAGTCATGTGGTACAGCCGGGCAGCGAGGCTTCAGACGTCATCATTTTCAGCTCCTCCCATAAATGAAGCAAGCCTCGATACGCGCATCGCGGAAACGCTCCCTCAATTACTCGACACAAGCTTCGAAGCCTCGATACAGAATGTCACATCACTAGTGACGGCCTCAGAGGTTGTCTAAGAGAATATTGGGAGCAACAACACCATGAAGTCCAAAGAACACAGCAGACAGGTCAAGGATAAAGTTATTGAGAAATTTAAAGCAGGCTTAGGCTACAAAAAGATTTCCCAAGCCTTGAACATCCCACGGAGCACTGTTCAAGCGATCATTCAGAAATGGAAGGAGTATGGCACAACTGTAAACCTACCAAGACAAGGCCGTCCACCTAAACTCACAGGCCGAACAAGGAGAGCTCTGATCAGAAATGCAGCCAAGAGGCCCATGGTGACTCTGGATGAGCTGCAGAGATCTACAGCTCAGGTGGGGGAATCTGTCCATAGGACAACTATTAGTCGTGCACTGCACAAAGTTGGCCTTTATGGAAGAGTGGCAAGAAGAAAGCCATTGTTAACAGAAAACCATAAGAAGTCCCGTTTGCAGTTTGCCACAAAGCCATGTGGGGGAAACAGCAAACATGTGGAAGAAGGTGCTCTGGTCAGATGAGACCAAAATGGAACATTTTGGCCAAAATGCAAAATGCTATGTGTGGCGGAAAACTAACACTGCACATCACTGTGAACACACCATCCCCACTGTCAAATATGGTGGTGGCAGCATCATGCTCTGGGGGTGCTTCTCTTCAGCAGGGACAGGGAAGCTGGTCAGAGTTGATAGGAAGATGGATGGAGCCAAATACAGGGCAATCTTGGAAGAAAACCTCTTGGAGTCTGCAAAAGACTTGAGACTGGGGCGGAGGTTCACCTTCCAGCAGGACAACGACCCTAAACATAAAGCCAGGGCAACAATGGAATGGTTTAAAACAAAACATATCCATGTGTTAGAACGGCCCAAAGTCCAGGTCTAAATCCAATCGAGAACCTCTGGCAAGATCTGAAAACTGCTGTTCACAAATGCTGTCCATCTAATCTGACTAAGCTGGAGCTGTTTTGCAAAGAAGAATGGGCAAGGATTTCAGTCTCTAGATATGCAAAGCTGGTAGAGATATACCCTAAAAGACTGGCTGATGTAATTGCAGCAAAATGTGGTTCTACAAAGTGTTGACTTAGGGGGCTGAATATTTACGCACACCCCACTTTTTAGTTATTTATTTGTGAAAAATGTTTGGAATCATGTATGATTTTTGTTCCACTTCTCACGTGTACACCACTTTGTATTGGTCTTTCATGTGGAATTCCAATAAAATTGATTCATGTTTGTGGGGGCCGAATACTTTTGCAAGCCACTGTAAGAAATGAAAGATGAGTTAAGATTTTTGCACAGTACTGATCCAGGAGACTATAGCACATAGCCACCAGACTAACCAGAAAAGGGTTGCTAGAGACCATAGGTCCTGCCATTGCCTGCCCAAAAGGAGTTGCAACAGACTTGGCCTGGCCGAAGGCTGGAAATCCTCCACCTGAAAGACATAATGTGATTTCAAGTGTTACATGATGGACATGGATCTCTCTCTCTCATTTATCTATCTAGCTTGCTCTATATTATTTTCATATAGCTATAAATATAATTAAAACAATAATAACAATAATAATAATATTACCAAATCAAATAAGACCTCTTCCGTCAGGGTTAATTGAGTGAACCAAATATTACATGAAGAAAAATTTTATAGACGACCACTTGACAACTACAGCTCAAATCTCACCATAGCCATTATTGTCTACATGACACACACCGTTGGGTTGCTGGGGATAGGCGGGAGGCTGAGGGAAGGGAGCCTGACCAGGAAAGGGTTGCTGGAACGTTCCACTAAAGCTGGTGGGGAGGTTGAAGGCTGCAGTATTCCCAAATCCAGCTGGCATACTCATGGAGCCTGTGCCAAATGGTGCTGCAAAATAGCAGAACAGCAACATTTAGGAACCAACAAAAGCTCAACACATAATAGGCAAAATTTGGTTTGATCTATTGCTGCGATTCTGTAACCCAGTGTGACTCGTTTTGGGCAAAAACGTCTACAATTCAGTATTGTGTGTCGTGTTGGGATTGTCAGAATCTCAGTTTTGTTTCGTTTTTTATTTGGATAGTTTAAACACATGCAATAAGAGTGTCTGCACACAAGCTGTAGAAAAAAAGAAAAGAGGGAGTCAGAATCAGACGTTTAGTGGCAGTGTCTGATCTCTGGTGAACACACAGGAGCAACAGCTGGGATCAAAATGTGTCAGACAGCCAGCTAAAAACCAAGCAATTCTATCAGCGATTTAAGAAAAACAAAATAAAACATACACACACACAGTTTACAGCTGATAAAGTGATACAGGCTACAGTATTTGACCACAATAATATGAAAAATAACATTTGATGCATGACAAGAAAGAAAATTATGAACTGAACTTTAAACAAGCACTAATGAATGATCAATTGTAACCAACAGGCCTGGACTACTTCTATATCAATACTATTACCCTGGGAATTGTGAGTGTGGCATTTCTCGTCTCATTCTGGTTGCCCATGCCCCAGACAAGCATGTTCTTCAAAGGGAAGAAGGCTGCAGCTGTAGACTGCCAGCAAGAGGGGCTACGGGGAGAAAAGGATTCAGTGACGGATAAGGATGGAGAAGGCTCGGGGAAAGGGAAGATGGAATATAATAGCAGTGCTGGCTACTGCAGCAGAGAAACTGTTCATCTGCTTTGGCAAAGCTTCAGGGAGTCCTACTCTTCTAGGCATTTCTTTTCTTTCAATATTTTTTTTTAAATCACTAAGATGCTTTGAGTGCCCACTTGCATTTAATTAACACCTGGGATTACAACTAATTGGTCCAAATTTTTATAATGTATTCATAGGGTACTTCTTTTAAACAGTAGAAGTAGCTGTACAGTCATCATCATAATCTCTTGTAATAATTATCACCATTCAGACATTTAATCTACTGGTCCCTGTGGTGGGCTCTGGCCACAGCTGGCTACGTGCAGGTCTTCAACTACATCCAGCTTATGTGGGACCATATAGAGCCATCTGCCACATCATCCATCTACAACGGAGGAGTGGAGGCTGCATGCTCTCTTGTAGGTAAGATTGGTGTTAGAGCGGGTTATTTTAGATTAAAAGTAATAATTACAAGATGTTCCAGTCAAGCGACTGTAACAGCGTGAATGTGTCTACATCAGTCAGGGTGAAATACATATTGTTTGTTTTGGTCTGACCTCATTTATTAAAAGCAGACAAAGAGCGATTCAGAAGACCCTTATGAAGAGAACATCAAGGGAACAGTTTACCCTGCCGGGGATAGGGTTACCAGGGCCCCGCCCTGGAGCCAGGCCCGGGGAGGGTGCCCGAGGGCAAGCGTCTGGTGGCCGGGCCTTACGGTGTGTTCACACCGAACGCGATGGACGCGAATAGAGCGTCAGGTTTACATGTAAAGTCAATGGAAAGGCGCGATGACACACGATTGCGGGTCCCGCGAAAATTCAGAAGCAGATTTGCGTCGCGAAAACGCCAAAACGTGTGAAACGCACGTCAGTGTAGCGCGTCTGGCGCATTTGACGCGCGAATAAAACCACGCGCGTCAGTTTTTTTGTTGCATTTTGTGCATACGCGCATTTCGCGTCTACCGCTCGAGTTGGAAAAATCTGAACTCCAGCGTCAAATCGCGCCGCGACAACCAATTAGGAGCCTGGTGACGTGGCTTTGACCTAGGTCAAAGGGGCAGATCCAGCCAAAGCCTTTCATACTTCAATGGAGGGGAAGGCTAATCAATGCGGTAGCAAACAACTCGGAGCTGTACGACACCAGCTGCTTTCTGTACCGAGACAGAAATAAAAAGGACTGAGCTTGGAGGAAGATATGTGAAGAGATCGGGCAACCTGGTAAGTTCATTCATTTCTCTTTTGAAAGTTTTTACTGACCCGGGAAAGTTGCACAAAAGCTAGCAAGCCACCGCTATTTTCCCACTGAAGTACAAATACCGTTCTGCTTTTATCCATGTTGTCATTTAGGAATATATTTTATTGTTTATTAATAAACAGCACACAGTGGTCCCGCTGTTCATCCGTCACTGCTTCACTTTTTCGCTGATTTTTTTTATTGCACAGTACAGCATTGCATTCTGCAGCCTGATTGACAAATCTCCTTCGTGTCGTGTCTCCTGCGCTTGCCAAATTTATCACTTTTGGTTTTGATAACCATCACGTCCAATAGAAAAAACAGCACAAAAACACCCATAACTATGACCCTGATTCGGAAATACACACCTGCACCGCGAGGGAAAAAGGCGCACGAAAGTGGCAGGCAGATGAAGACAAACCGCGGCATAATAATACTTTTACGTTTTGCAATCTACAAAGGTTTGCACTTTGAGAATCAATTGTGAGAACTGTGACCAATGTTCATGTGTGTGGGGAAAACAGTGTATAAAGTGCGTGACCAGGGGCTAGTTATTCTGAGAACCCCTGCTGCAATAAATGAGAGACCACTGTCTACTCTATGATTATTATATTCAACCTGTTAACATTTAATACTGTATTGATAGAACCAACTGATTCTGCAGCAGAGCATCCCCAGTCCCTGAGCTCCTGCTGCTGCACCCACAGGTATGTACAGCAAGCACTGATACCTTTTCAGTCGGTGGGATTGCCTTGTGATCACCTTTACTAAATATCTACAACCAATCTGATTATATCCTGTTTTTGTTTTTTTGTTTTTTTTCAATGTTGAAATTAAAATCTAGTAGCAGTCTTCTCGTTTCTTTGTGTTTTGTGCTGTTTTACAGGCCCACAGGGGAGGACGGCTCCGAGGCAGATGAGGGACGGGTCCCAGGACGGTCCACCGGCGCTGGAGCTGGCCATCCTGGTATCCCTGAAGAGTCCACACCAGTCTCCAATGGAGCATTTCCTCCTCAGCCTTGTTCCTGCTCTGGAGAGCAGCTGGTCCTTTTTATTCCTGTCTCTCTGTAAATTCTTATATTTTATATATTTATGTTTAATGTTTTTCTGTTTGAGAATTTTAATATTATTTCAAATACATTTTTATAATGACTAATGTCTCAGTTCTACTACACAGCAAATGTTGGCACACGACTTGACACATGTAGAATTTATTTCATATTATACTAATGACAAAATATACTAATACAGTGGGATGCAAAAGTTTGGGCAACCTTGTTAATAGCCATCATTTTCCTGTATAAATCGTTGGTTGTTACAATAAAAAAATGTCAGTTAAATATCATACAGGAGACACACACAGTGATATTTGAGAAGTGAAAAGAAGTTTACTGGATTTACAGAAAGTGTGCAATAATTGTTTAAACAAAATCAAGCAGGTGCATAAATTTGGGCACCACAAAAAAGAACTTAAATAAATATTTAGTGTATATCAATGTGTGTGTCTCCTATATGATATATGGGGTGCCTTTGTCTGGACGTGCTTCCCATCCAGAGCTGCACAGCACAGAGGAAAGTTCCAGCGCTCCTGGAATCCCTCTGTGATGGACCGCCAGTCTCCAGGTGAAGGCGCAGCCATGAAGTTGTCCACTAGACAGTCCCAGATGGCCATCGCTGCCTGGGGGGTGATCTGGTTCAACGTGGACACACCGACTCTGTAACTGAATGCGACAAGGAACCTGGACAAAATTGTTCAAAATTAGTATTATGTGTACTGCAGTTACAAAATACATTATTCAAATTCCAAAATACTTTTGTGATGTCATTTAAATCACAAAACTTAAATCTTACATAAAACATTTTGTAATTATAAGGATAATTACAAAATGTATATTAGATAATATCTAAAACAGCTGTGTTTTGTTTTAACTTTAACATATCATAATTTGATTGGTAGCAACTTTTGCCACTACAGTGTGCCAATCACTCACAATTCCTAAACATGTCAATCAGGTAGGAATGAAGTAAGACATTAATAGAAATAAAGAGTTGTATGTTGACATGTAGCCCTTTCCTTGCTTAAATCATTAATATTTTTGAACAATTAATCTGTGATAAGACATAGCTTATCAAGATAGAACCATGTAACTAAAGATGAACCAAACTGTTCACAGTTTTATCTAACTCTGTTTTAATAAGGGCTGGTGAGCCCTGTTATAGAGTCTGACAGCTGCAGGGATTATATACAAATATTCAACTATCCCAGAATTAAACCAGTTCTAAATAAAAAGGAGTGAGTATCACTACAAAGGTTAACTCAGTGGTCCTAATGCTACAGTTTGATATCAGCAAACACCGAGCGCATACATTGATGTGACACCACAGCCATGGTATCATTGCAAACACTGATAACAGCATAAATCGAATTAAATCGGGACTTGATGAGAGCTTCTGAGTATCACTAGAAATATTATAAACAGTCATCTCTGTACCACAGTTTGCTATCAGTAAACACCGACAGCATTCACTGTTAGCATAACACATCCATGTTAGCAGTGTATAAATGGATGGTTTAGCATATTAGCACAGGTATCAATAAAGGACTACCGTATTAAACACTTTTACTAACCTCAGGCAGACGGACAGGCGCTCTGCAGGTGGGATTGAGCGCCTGTAATTGGTGTCTAGGCGGGCGATGCTGGGACCGATGAGGGAAAGCAGTAGAGGTGGGAATCACCATACACCCCACGATACGATATTATCACAATACTTAACTCACGATACGATATTATTGAGATTTATTTATTTATTTATTTATTTTTATATATATATATTTTTGCAATATTCTGGGTATTGCAATACGATATTTTGTGATTTATCACATATTTTTTCCTACTGCAGATTTTTTCCATAAAGGTAAACTTTATCAATATTCATTTTATCTAATAATAAAGTCTCACACTCAGTCTTTCTCTCATGTCAGTCAGTTTTATTGCTGACAAAGTGAATGGTTTGTATAACAGTCTAGTAACCAACTTAACTGAACGTAACTATCTGGTACAATTAT